CCTATGACCCAGCAATAGCACTGCTAGGAATTTACCCAGGGGACACAGGAGTGCTGATGCACAGGGACACATGGACCCCAATGTTCATAGCAGCACTCTCCACAATAGCCAAAACGTGGAAAGAGCCTAAGTGTCCATCAACGGACGAATGGATCAAGAAGATGTGGTTTATCTATATGATGGAATACTCCATGGCAATGACAAAGAATGAAATCTGGCCATGTGTAGCAACATGGATGGAACTCGAGGGTGTTATGCTGAGTGAAATAGGCAGAGAAGGACAGATACCATATCTTTGCAAGTATAGGAGGATTAGGAGGAACTTAACGGAGGACTGTGGGGAAAAGAAGGGGGAAAATAGTGGGGGAGAAGGAGGGAGGCAAACCATGAGAGACTCTTGAATGCTGAGAACAAACTGAGGGCTAATGGGGGTGGGGGGAGGGGAAGAGAGTGATGGGCATGGAGGAGGGCACTTGTTGGGATGAGCACTGGGTGTTATATGGAAACCAACTTGACAATAAACTATTTTTAAAAAAGCCCTGAAAGTCCCTTGTGTAAGGGACTGCCTCAGGAAAAGTGGTCACCCTGGATGCTGGGGGGATGGCAGGCAAGGTCCCTCGACAGGTCAGGCTGCCCAAGGAGAGAGGAGAGGGAGAGCACTCACCCAGTGGAATGGAGCAAATCCGGGTACAGTGTGGACACTTGGGTGACGGTCAGTGTGAAGGTCAGTTCTAGACACCGCAGATGTTTACAGTGCTTAAGACAAAAAGCAGACACTTGCATGTCTTTGTTCTTGCTGATTATCAAAGCAGCTTTCTGACAATCATTTAGGATCTGACTCACAAATGCCTCCTCCTGGATTTCATGCAGACAGTACAATAGTTGTGGGACCCCATGGTGCGGGGTTGGGGGGCCACATTCATGTGACAGGGTTGCGACTTTCAGCAACTTCTTTCTATTACCTAAGGTCAGCTTGCATCGGAATGAGTTCTCCGCAGCTAAAGCACACGCTTCATTTAAGAGGCCAAATAAGAAAAGCCCCATCTGAGTGAGATAATTTTTCTTTCTTCCTGGGTATGCTATCAGGCGTGTGACATGCACACGGTCCAACACCTGGAAATTTTTTAGACTTTGTGGGGAGCAGAGGACATACAACAAGGCAGCAAAAAATTCCTGGAAGCTCATGAAAGCAAAAGCATAATGGTCCTTGTCACCTGCAACCCTTTGAAAAATATTCACATGGAGAAAAGTAGCAACGGCGGTCCCATCCAGCTTGGCGTGCTCCAAGTCTTTCATGTCAAACACCCATTTCATGTTCCACATACCCTCTGCAGCCAAGTAACACAGACCTCTCAGTTGTTCTTGGTGAGTGTTACTGGGAGCTCCTCCAGTCTCGGTGGGATATAAGCTAGACAGATACTGGACAAATAGGGCCGTGGCGTTTGGATACACCTGCGTGAGATCTGCTCCTCTATCCATCTGCTGTCTCAGACAAGAACACACGATCCAGCAAACCACAGGGACCTGGCACATGGAGAAGAGAATCGAGTTTCCCATGACAAAACTCAAGGCTTCATCAGCCTCCCTCTTGTTTCTGAAATAGGTCCTGAAATACTTGGCTCTTTCTGCCATACCAAACCCTGTAAGGGTTATAAAGGAGGGATGTTTTAGGAAGGGCTTAAGTCTCCTCCGAGATGTGAACCTCAGGGTGATCAGTATGGTGGCTTCAGGAAGCATTCTTTTGCTTAGCAAACTGGTCAGGAGGACAGACCCGGGCAATTTCTGGCTCCAGTCCTCACTCAGGTTGGTTGGTATATCTGTAAGGGTCAATGTTACCTCTTCAAAGCCATCAAAGAGGAGCAGAAGTTGTTCTGGTTTGGACATAATCTTGGACATGAGAGCCTGTGACCCAGGCCATTTATGGGCAATCAGCTCCGAGAAGCTCTGCTTGTCCACCTGGGCCACTTCCCGGCAATGGAAGTAAAAAGCACACCAAAACTTGTGGGGATAGAACTTGTTTTGTGCCCAATCCAACATCAGCTTTTTGGCTAGGGTTGTTTTTCCAACCCCAGCAACTCCCTGTAGGACCACAGTCTTAGGCTGTCTTCCTTGAGGTCTTCTGGGAAGAAACAGACATGGTAAGAACCTCTCGTGTCTCTCTATTTCTTGGTAGAAGAAGTCTACGTGGTTCCCAGGCCAAGTGGTCTTGCTCCATGTCACGGAGTACTCATCCATCACGTGCAGTTTGTACTCATGTATTTTATCTAGATGAGCAAGATGGGAGAAATACAGGGTATGGCATCAGAGTTATCTGTGAGAGCTAATTAAACGAAAAGAAAATTAACCTTGATGTTTACACCACGAACTTTTCCTGAGAGCACTGCACCAATTTAGAAGCTGTGAGTAAATGGAAAAGTCAACTTGAAGTGGCTTAAACAGAATGATGGTTTCTTTTTATTAGAGAATTATGGGGAGGGGTGTGTAGAGATGTTGAAATTGATTCAGTGGTTCTGCAGCTTCAGGGCCAAGTAACACCACATTTCTATGACCCCGTTCTTCATATTTCTTGCCTCATGAATAAGAGACTGCTGTTGTAGCTATGCTATTCTTATGTAGTACATTATGGTATTTGTATTCAAAGCAGAAATTGGGGGAGGAGGGACATGCTAACAGCTCATGTCTACTTTTATCAATATAAGCTGAAGCACTCATCGGTACAAATTGATGAACTCAGGAGATTTCTACTTAGATCTTACGGCCTAGAGTTGTCAGATAGTTAACCTCAACTTTAAGGAAAGCTGGAAAACAATATTTCCCTTAGGGATGGTCACATTTTACCCCTAAATAAAACTGGATTCTGCTAGGACATGAGATATGGGGATAGGAAGTTAACAGGATCTACAGGATCTGTCACAACCTTCATCTCAACCTGTGATTCTCTTCTCTCTCCCTCCCTCCCTCCCCCCCACTCTCTCCCCTAAACAGGAAACTTTACAAATTGGACATGCTGTCTGGTCCAACTGCATTCCCTCCATTCCCAGCTGATGGGTAGAAGGAAGCTTACTACAAGTCCAAGATCTATTGATTTATTAGCTCTATGAGGTCATAGAATCTGTCATAGAATCTCCAAGCCTCCAACTTGCCATCTCCAAAATAAATTAGGGTTTATGACTCTGGCTCAGACTGTGGTGTCAGAACTATCAGCTCTCCAGTGTTTGTTGAACAGGTGAAATCTAACTGTGGTAAGGCTGGAGCTGGGGATCCCACACCGCACTTACTGTATGCTTTCATGATAGATTAGAGTGTTGTCCTTGGGGCTCTCAGTTCTTTTGACCTCGTCTCTTCACACAACCTGACTGAGAAGTGCAAACTCGATTCACATGAAAATAATTTGGGTTCTTTCTAGAACCCAAATTCTGATGGCACAGGATGGTGGAGTGGGGAAGAGGACAGAATAAGGGATCTGCTGTATTTGTCTCCCTATCAATCGTTCCTATTCTGGTAAAAGTACTACCATGATTCTTTGGGGGAACCTCCTCTTCCCATCATCAGTTTGCTAAATTGGGCTGTGGGCTGGTCCTATCACCAAGCTCTCTCTGAAGTGCATAAACCAGTCTTAACCAACCAGAGCATATCGTCACATCATTCATGGATGAGCTCGGGACCTCAATTCATTAGATGAGTCAGTTCTAGGAGGAGTGCTGGAGAAATGAGAAAATACTCCTCTTTCTGCTGATGCTAAGCAGGTACAATGTGTATGTAGGGTAGCTGGTGGCCAGTATGTCCACTGTGGCGGAGTACACCACTCGAGACTGGGTCCCACAAAAGAAGAGGGAGATAGAAGGACAGAATGATATCTCAAGGATGTACCTAGGGCCCCTGCCTCCTGTTAGTCTGGTCATTGGATTTCAAGTTAGGTGAGTCCACAACTATTTTTTCTTAAGTTCTGATTCATCGAAGGGATGCTGACATACTTATTTATAACCTTCCTTGCCTCATGAACCAAGATTCTCACACCAACCCACAGCCCATTTTCCTCCAGGCTTGTCACAGTGCCAGTACCTACCAGATTCTCCTTCCTCCAAATTCACTGGCATTTCTTTTGGCTTTAAATCCACTGGCTCCAAGCTGGGTAGGATATCTGGAACAGACAGGAAAGGAGAATTTTCCACTGGAATGACTGACAGGACAGGGAAAGCCACATGGAGGCAATGGGATTGGAGCAGCCATGCCATTTGAGTCCTATTAATTCACCATCTTAGTCCAGGGAGAAGAACATTGTCTTGACTCCATCATGATGTTAGGAGGTGAGAAAATGGTGCTGTTTTAGGATGTACTGAGGAAGGCGTTCAATAACATAAATTTATAGCCTAGCCAAACACAGAGGGAGAAATATACACAAAACACACACGTGTATGTATATATAAAATATATGCAGACTTTAATATATATGTATGTGCACATATAGATGTAGGTGTATAAATAGACATGCAGGTTTTTATGTATATGAAAATAATCATACATACACACATATAGTCATTGATTTTTCTTATTCATGCCATTTATGTTCTATAAAGTTACTGTGAACATTCAATTAGCCAATACTGCTCTCATGTGAATACAGCGATATGTTCCTATAGCCTCTGTCTACATTTCAACCCTTCAATCCATAACCATGGTCTATGTGTGTTTTTGTTTAAAGATGTCATATTCGATAGATATCGTTGATTCATTAACACTGAACTCACTGTCAACAGTGCTATAACTCATGCCTGAATGAAGCTTACACAACACATGTATTTTTTCTGTAAGGCATGTGACAGCCCTTTTGTGCATAGGACACCAAATAGCACTCCACCACTATGCTTTAGGATCAGGTTATACAGCAATGTCACCAACAAAATACACAAAAACACAAAGAAAGTGGCACTAAATAGACGATGGAACAGACATTCGTTTACAGGATGAGAACATAGGTAAGAAGGCAGAGTTTTGCTTTGTTCACCTGTAGCTGGAAACATCTACATTTAATTTTCCTCCAACCTACATGTCTGTAAATGACCATGAAAGTGTCACAATTGGGGCTCCTGGGTGGCTCAGTTGGTTAAGCGTCTGACTTTGGTTCAGGTCATGATCTCACGGTTCGTGGGTTCTAGCCCCGCGTTGGGATCTGTGCTGACAGCCAGCTCAGAGCCTGGATCCTGTTTCAGATTCTGTGTCTCCTTCTCTCTCTGTCCCTCCCCTATTCACGCTGTCTCTCTATTTCTCTCAAAAATAGATAAAACATTAAAACAAGGAGTCACAATTATTGATTTTGGAGTTAAATAAATTTTAGTGAGTAGGCAGATTCACAAACATGGAATCTGTAAATAATGAAGATGGACTATATATAGATACTAAATAAGCAGTATCTGGTTAAGTTTTGTTGTTGTTGTTGTTGTTAATATGCTCGTATGATGGTCTTTGCCTTTTGCAGTCAGAGTCATCATCTTACTCCACTGTTTGCCTTCTGATTCAATATGGTTGGCCAGTAAAGTATTTAGTTCTTTAACAATGAAACCCATCCCCATTTGTATACCAGATTATTACTTACCATTTAGCTCCATCTGTACCCGAAGACACAGTTCTGTCAGGTTCATCTTGGCAAAGATGTCATGAGTCACATCCCAAGCCAGTCGTCCAGGGAAGTACTCCATCAAGAGATGAACCACCTCCCCCCATCTGGCTGTTTTCACCTGGTCCCAGGTGATCTGGACAGAGCCAGGTCTGAGGTTCTCATCCACTAAAAGCTGCTTGAACCTTTGTAGCTCCTCCTTGCTTAAATAGACCATGTACAGCATGACCCCATTTTCAAAAGGGGAGGAAGAGGAGGCAGAGGACATCAAGGATGGGAACAAATAACAAGCAGAGGAAGAAGAGCTAGAAGAGCAAGAAGAAGAGCAGGAGGAAGAGCTGGAAGAAGAGCAAGAGGAAGAGCAGGAAGAAGGACTAGAATCCAGATTCACATCACTCATTTTCACTCAAGACCTAGGACCTAAGTGCCAGTGATAAAGATAACCAACTAGAAGAGAGAAGGACCAGACCTGTGGAGACATGAAAACAGAAGAGAATGAAAACCCACCCAAGGGGATAGGTTTATTGAGTCCATATTTTATAGAGCACACTGTGTACCTCCTTCCCCCCAAGTTTCTCTGTCCTGTGAAAAAACCTGGGGTCACATCCAGTGTTCAGGCTTAGTGTTTTGACTCAAATTCACTTGGTAGTTTTTTATTCTCAATGCCACGTATTGACAAGGTGACTGGCCAAATCACAGGATCTCTTTGTGCCACTTCTCCACATGTGATCCTGGGATCAGAGCTTATCTGTTCGTGGGATTGTGAGGATTTCCAAAGAGACAAATCTACAGGTATGTTTGGAATAGTGCCTGGCACATAATAACTAACAATTATTTGGGGCTTATATCTGTACCTCTATGACAGCTATTTTAGAGACTCAATTGGAATTTATAAAAGGTGCCTGGAATCAAAGGTGTATTGTTCCTCTCCATTTATCTCCTCCACTGTCTCATCCTTCTTTTGTCTTCTGTCATGGTTATCATGGGCAAGAAGTGGATTGTGGAGAAGAAGAAAGAGAACAATGAAGTCACTGGTGGGAGAGAGGCTTCCTTCTTGGTCTACCTGCTGCTCACATACAATTACTTCTCTGAGTTATCTTTGTCACCACCTTTTAATTCTCATCCCCATCACCTGAGAACTTCCTGTATATTTCCTTTAAGTCATCATGTATTGGGCACTGACTCAAAGTTTTATCTCCTCCAATTCACTGCAATGGTTCTGGATAATTGCAGGGTCCCTGTGGGTGACAACTGCCCCTTAATTTAGCACTCAACCTTCACCTCCACTCTTGGATTCTCTCATTCCTGACACGTGAGCAAAAAAGCCTTCATTAAGAAGGAAAAAAAAAGAAAGATTTCCAACAATCCAACTTTACACTTCAAGGAACTAGAAAGAACAAACTAAGCCCAAAGTTAGCAGGAGGAAGGAAATAGTAAAGATCAGAGAAGAAATAAATGAAATAAAGACCAAAAAGACAGTAGAAAAGATCAATGAAACTAAGAGTTGTCGCTTTCTTAAATTTTTTTTTTTTTAACGTCTACTCATTTTTGAGAGAGAGAGAGAGAGTGCGAGCAGGGGAGGGTCAGAGAGAGAGGGAGACAAAATCTGAAGCAGGCTCCAGGCTTTGAGCTGTCAGCACAGAGTCCACCATGGGGCTCAAACCCACGAGCAGTCAGATCATGACCTGAAGCCAAAGTCTTAACCAACTGAACTGTCCAGGTGCCCCAAGAGTTGTTGTTTTCTTTAAAAAGATAAACAAAATTGGCAAACCTTTAGCTAGACTAACCATGAAAAAAAGAAAGGGAACTCAATCAGAAACGAAAGAGGAGACATTACAACTGATACCACAGAAATATAAACGATCTTGAGAGACCACTATCAACACTTACACCTCAAGAAACTGGATAACTAAGAAATGAATACATTTCTAGAAACATACAAACAAGATTGAATCACAAAGGAACAGAAAATATGAACAAATCTTTAACAAGTAAGGAGGTCAAATCAGCAACCAAAAACCTTCTCCAAAAGAAAAATCCAGGACCAGATGGTTTCCCTGGTGAATCTCACCAAACACTGAAAGAACACCAATATCAAATTCTTCCAAAAACTGAAGAGGAAGGAACACTTCCAAACTCATTTTACAAGACCAGCATTACCCTCATATCCAAACTAGATAAGGACATCACAAGAAAATTACAGGCCAATATCTGATGAACACAGATGTAAAAATCCTCAGCAAAATACTAGCAAAATGAATTTAGTAAAATGTAAAATGATCACAGTAAAATTATCATATCATGATCGAATGGAATTTATTCCTAGGGTGCAATGAAGGTTCAACATAATTCAATAAATGTGATAAAACACATCCACAGAATGAAGTGTAAAACCCATATGATTATCCCAATAGATGCAGACAAAGCATTTGAAAAGATTCATTATCCTTTCCCAGTTAAAAACTCTTAACAAATTAGATGTGGACATGAGGTAGAACTGAGGTAGAAAGTACCTCAACATAATAAAGGCCATACATTAAAAGGCACAGCTAACACCACATGCCACTATGAAAAAACAAAGCTGCTCCTTTAAGATCAGGAACAAGACAAAAATGCCAACTCTCTCACTTCTATTAACATAGTACTGGAAGTCCCAGCCAGGAGCAAGAAAAAGGAAACAAAAGACATCCGAATGAGGAAGAAGTAAAATTATCTCTGTTTGCAGATGACATGATCTTACAACTAGAAAATTCTGAAGACTCCACCAAAACACTATTAGAAAAGACAAATTGACTTAATGTGCAGAATACAAAATAAATACACAAAAATCAGTTATGTTTCTATATATTAAGAATGAAATATCTGGAAAAGAAATTCAATAAACAATTCCATTTATAATAGCATCATACAGAATAACATATGTGGGTATAAATTTCATCAAACAAGTATAAGATCTGTATGCTGAAAACGATATGACATTGATAAGAAATTGAAGACATAAATACATGAAAAGACATCCCATGTCCTTGGATTGGAAGAATTAATATTGTTAAAATGTCCAGATTACCCAAATGCATTGAATCTATGAATCCAATGAGATCCCTATCACAATTCCAATGGCATTTTCCACAGAAATAGAAATAACAATCCTAAAATTTGTGTGGAGCTACAAAAAAATCCTCAATAGCCAATGCATTTTTTTTTTAATGTTTTATTTATTTCTAGGAGAGAGAGAGAGAGAGACAGCGTGAGCAGGGGAGGGTCAGAGAGAGAGGGAGTCACAGACTGAAACAGGCTCCAGGCTCTGAGCTGGCAGTCAGCACAGAGCCCGACGCGGGGCCCGAACCCACGAACTGCGAGATCATGACCTAAGCGAAAGTCGGACGCTTAACCGACTAAGCCACCCAGGTGCCCCTGCCAATGCATTCTTGAGAAAGAAAAACAAAGTTTGAGGCATCACACTTCTCAATTTCAAGCTATATTACAAAGCTATAGTAATCACAACAGTATGGTACTAATGTAAAAACAGACACAGAGACCAATGGAACAGAAAGAGTCCAGAAATAAATCCATGCATGTATGGTCAACTAATAATTGAAAATGGAGCCAAGAATATTCAATGAGGAAAGAATGATCTCTTCAATAAATGTTGGGAAAACTGGATACCCACATGCAAAAGAATGAAATTGGACCTGTATCTTACACCATAGGCAAAAATTAACTCTAAATAGATCAAAGACTTAAATGTATTACCTGAAGCTGTAAAGCTCTGAGAAGACAATGTATGTGAAATTCTCCTTAACATTAATCTTGGCAACGATTTTTTTAGTATAACACCAAATGTCTAGGCAACAAAGCAAAAATAAACATGTGGGACTATATTAAACCCAAAAGCTTCTGTGTAATAAAAGAAACAATCAACAAAAAGAAAAGAGTCTGCAGAATGGGTGAAAATATTTGCAAATTTTATATATGATAAGGATTAATGTCCAAAATACGAGGAACTCATAACAGTAACAAAAAAACAAAACCAAAACAAACCACCAAACAGCAACAACAATGAAAAAGAATAAAAAACCACATTAAAATTGGCAATGGCTCTAAGTACACATTTTTCCAAAGGAAATGTACCAATGGTCAAAAAGTATGTGAAAAGATGTTCAACATCACTACTCTCTAGGGAAATGCTAACCAACCATGAGATAATATCTCACACCTGTGAAGATGACTATTCTCAGAAAGACAAAAGACAGCACATGTTGGTGAGGATGTAGAGAAAAGGGAACCACAGTGCACAGCTGGTGAGAATGTAAACTGGTGCAGCCACGGTGGAGAACAGTATGGAGGCTCCTCCAAAAATTAATGATAGAACTACTTTATGATCAGCAATCCCACTTGTGGGTATACATCCAAAGAAAATGAAATCAGTTTCTCTATTTGTACCCACATGTTCACTGCAGCCTTATTCACGATTGCCAAGATATGGAAACATCTAAGTACCTATCAACAGGCGAATGGATGATGAAAATGTGGTAAATACACAATGGATTAGTATTCAGCCATTAAAAAGAAGGAAGTCCTGCCATTTGCAATTTGCAACTTTATGGATGAATCTGGAAGATATTATACTAAGTAAAATAAACCAGAAACAGAAAGGCAAATACTGTATGATCTCACTTATCTATGGAATCTAGAGGGTTGAACTCATAAAACCAGAGAGTATAGAATGGGGGGTTGCCTGGGCTTGAGGTTAGAGAAAATGGGGAGACGTTTGTCAAAGGGAACAAACTTTCAGTTATAAGATGAGTAAGTGCTGGGGAATCTAATGCATAGCATGGTGACTTTAGTCTATCACATAGATCCTTTGTTTCTCCATTTTATAAAGGAGAAAAATGAGGTTTATGTAGGTTAAATAAATTTAACCAAAGCTGTGACAGAAACCAGCAGTTGCAGCCATGTCTCATGCCCAGCCCCACAGGTTGAGCCATGTGGCTGCAATGACAAATATTTTTATTGAAAAGGAGTACTTGGGGGGAAGTGGTGTCAAAGCCAACATTTCTTAATCTTCACTGCCTCCTGTACTACTCTGTGCCTCATTCTTTCCCCTTTGTGATGACAGCTTTCTTGATTTTTAAAAAAATTTTGTAGGGGCGTCTGGGTGGCTCAGTCGGTTAAGCGTCCGACTTTGGCTCAGGTCATGATCTCACGGTTCGCGGGTTTGAGCCCCGTGTTGGGCTCTGTGCTGACAGCTCAGAGCCTTGATCCTGT